GAGAGTAGAACGGCTCTCCGCTTCTCCTCTCCACCCTCCCATCACCTTGCTCCTTCCACTCATCACAGGCGCGGGCACACACAGACGCGCGCACGCTCTCTGGGGCCATAATCCTAGGAATCATTTTCTGGATCAAAGCCAATAGCTAACAAATGAGGTGCTGCTGTTTTGTAGCTTATCTGACAGCAACCTTGGCCTTGTCTGTGCGACTGCCTGGGGAGTTACAAATGAAGGATTTGGGGACCCGGCAGCTTTGTGGACTCATTCCAGTGAGAATACAGGATGTACTTGAAATAAAGAATGCTTCTTTGTGATTCATTAAGCTCGTCTCTGTTCCTCTCTATTAGGCATGTGCCTGCCATGCCCTGCAAAGTGATGACATTCAAAAGTGGAAGAGTCAGGCGGAAATAAAAAAACATTCCACTTCAGTGCCTAACCCATGTGCCCCTTAATCTGAAATAAATCTGTGACAATTGACAGATGCTTCTTTCAGACGGTTGTGGAGAAAGGCTTGACTTGTCCTAGTAAATCAGACACAGGCTTCATTATTTTTACTCTTGTTAAAAAAAGTTACCATAGCAACTATACTATCATCTAGGGCAAATGTTGTCTCGTTAAGTCAATAAAATGAGGAGCTGTCCCACAAAAACCCAGTGCTTCAAAAGGAAGAAATGACTTTTTAATAAAATGAATTTCTTCCAAGACTTCACCATTCAGCTTCATTTATAATCCCAGAATTTTACCCCCCTGTAAATAAGGGATATTGAAAGCAACATACAACTTTGTAAAATCAAAGGCTGACTTTTCTTGTATCTGTTTGCAGAAAATCATTAATTCTATTACTTCCTTGAAACACATAGCTTCTTTTGTGGCCTTTTTATTCATCCACAGGAGGCATAATGCTAATGCGTTTGACCTTGGACAGAGCGTTGTGTATTCTGAGAGGACAATGGGGGAAAACATGGCAGCATGCACACCTTTTTCTCAGCTCTCGAGGTCACTGTAAGCGATGCAGCGAACAGCTTAGTTCTATGGGTCCTCACTTAGTACCTGTGGAACAGAGTGGGTACTTAGTACGTGTTGTTTGGCTCAGTTAGTTTGACTTCATTCTTGGTCAGAACTGACATTGTTTGGGAGTATTCATGATAATATATTAAAATATTGCATTTTGGAACTATGGTAAAACTTATACCCCCAAAGTATGAGATTTGAAACTTAAAGATTAAATGTGATACTTCAGACATTTTTTCCTACTGCAAAATGTATTGGTAATTTCAGTGTCAGATCAAAGCCCCACAGGCTGCCTGGTGAAGCGCTGTTGGTGCCCACCCTTGTCTCCTGGTTTCAGAATGCTGCTAAGGTCTCATAGCCCCCAAACACTTTGCTTCTTCTATTCTCAGGCTCACATTGTCTCCACATTTGATACTTTTGAAATCAGGATATGCCTAATAATTAATGGCATGACATTTTTATTGGCAGGTGTTGTTTTTTTTAAAGATTTTTATTGGGGAATTGGGGGAGGGGGACAGCACTGGAGAATTGGAGGAAGGGGAACAGACAAGTTGCTGTCCTTTTGTTCTTCAGTCTAATTATGGAGGACGTTGCTTCACTGGCCCATGTTGGTATCATCATTGCTCTCTTCCCAGACGAGGCAGATAGGTCACTGGCCTCTGGACAGCTGCTCACGGTGGCTCTTGGCAGCTCACACTGGCTGCCACTCACGCTGGCTGCTGGCCACACACGGTAGCTTATGGCAACCCACTGCAGCAGGGGCTACAGCCTACGCCATTGCCGGCGATTCACGATAGCCAAGCTCCAGGTCGAGCTGTTGTTCATCTTAGCTGTAGAGGGCAGTGTCACTGGCCCTCATGTGGGATCCAAACCAGGGCCCTGCTGCTCAGAGCTGGCGTCCCAAGCCAACTCTTAACTAACGCGCCACTTGGCTGGCCCTATTGGCGGCTTTTTATTTCTTAGGGGTACACACACTGATGATGGAATAGAAAAAAAACCACATTTATTGCCTGCCTATCATGTATGTATCAAGCACTGAGATAAGCAATTTATAGACATTATTTTGTGGAATTCTCACACAAACACTGTGAAGGAGGCATTTTCAGTTTTGCAGGATGCTGAGACTCGGGGTATGAGGCTTGGCCAAAATCGCAAGTTAGCAAGAGTCAGAGTTGAGATTTGAACACAAATCTGGGTGAATTTGTTGTAATATGAACCTTCAGATTCTCCATTTGACTTGCCTTTAGCTTGTTCTGTTCATAACATAGTTTGCAAACTTTTAAATTCTGGTGCAAGGAAGGGCCTTATAAGTCATAGGGTCCAACCCCTTCATATTACAGATGAAGAAACTGAGGCTGAGAGGAGACTGCCCAAGGCAGTCACAAAGGAGTTATGCTACTGAGAGCCAGCATGGCGAGCCAGGAGAGCGTCCAGGCTCTTGCAATGTCCTTACCTCCTGCGTACAGGGTGCACTCTCAGGCCCTGCCTGCCTGGGGCTGCCCTCCCTCGGCCAGGCTTCATTTGCTCAGTCGCCCCTTCGAGGCTCTGACACTCAGCTCACTCCTTCTCTGTTGTCATGCTCCTCATCTTGACCTTACCTACCTCCCCTCTCCTTACCCCTAGTGAACCTGTATCTTGTGACTCATCCTCCAAGGTGACAGTGAAGCCATCTGAAGATGATAATGAAACAAGATGAGAGAAGACTCTCCAGTGCTTGGAGCCACTGCCTACATCATTGTTTGCTACCTCAAGAGAGTGAGTTGAATGGCAGGAACATGAGTGGAGATGGAAAGGAAGGTGGCAGGTGCACAGACGATGGGGCTGAGGTACTCTATAGGCATCAGGGCCTTAAGTAGCCTTTGAAACCACACAGCAACCTGTCATTCTGCCTCCAGAGAGGCAAGTGGCATGGCATAGTGCAAAGATTGCCAAAAAAGTGGCATCCACACACCATTCCCTTTTTCCGCCTTCACGGCAAAGCTAATGGGCCACTGCCCCCTGCATTGGGAACGGGTCCAGAGGCCTTCTTAACAGTGTCCCAGACAGCACCTTCCAACTGACTGCAGTTGGTTGCAGGGATGAAACAAACCTATTTGCCATCCCTAGTGTCATCAAAGGCTTTAGAGGCAGGCGGATTACAAAATAACTGAGGCTCCATTTCCCCCAGTGGAAAAAGGAGAGAATAATTATTGATTTACAGAATTGTCATGAAACTTAGAGATAACGTATATAAGAACACAGCAGATTCCCTGGAGCCTGGTACATAATAGGTGCTGAGGGACTAGAAATTGTCGTTATGATAAGGTGAATGCTGATGGGAGAGGCATGGTGCCACAGCTCTGCATTATAAGGAAGTTAGGTATTATTATATAAAAGAAAGTCACTCTTGCCCTCCCTTTGTTGTCTTTCTTCACCTTGTGACACTGCAGATACAAGTATGTATGTTTCAAGTCTAATCTGAGAGGGTTGAACAGTCCTCTTCAGAAACACAGCTCAGGATGGCAGCTCACTAATGACTGGCCAGCTCCAGACCCAGCAAGTTCGGAAGATCACACCAGGTAAGCAGACTGTCCCCGGAGTACCCCAATCCTGGTTATGCTACTCACAGGCTGAAGGGCTGAAGAAAGTCCTTTATTCCAAGTCTAGTTCAATTTTCTGTGAAAACGTGATAATCTGACTCTAGAAATAGGTCTATTGATGGTACAGTGATGGATTCATTGAGGGTTGTTATATATTTTGAAAAAAAAAATCAAATCCTTAATGAGTAGCATGTTTATTTAACATCATTTTACTTCAGAAAATGGAAATACTTTAACTTCTTTATTTAATATTATTTATGTAACATGCATCTTAAATGTCTCTGGCTATGTCATGATTTGCTGTGATATGCAAACTCCTAAGGACAAGGATGATGTCTGCTTCATTTAGTTTTTAGAGCCCCCAGAATAACGCCATGAACATGAGGTTTTTAATCCATTTGTATGCCGCTGTTGTGGATTGGAATATAAACTGTGTCCCATACTCATGAAGAATACTATTTCACTCCCAGTTTGGACTTTTAAGAACCAGAAATTTAATGAAACATTTCTATCAGAACAGCATTGAATACCATTACATGCAGCATAAATGTATATTTATTGGCTTATTTTAACTTTATTGTTAGTTTCAGGGGTACAAAACAATGCAATAGTTATACTTTTCACCCCTCACAAAGTGACAAGCCCCCTCCCCCAATATTTTAATTTTTAAAGTATCAATATTAATTGACTTTCTATTACAAAAGCCTGCTAATGTAGAAAAAGTGAAAAATTCTGCAAACTACATAGAAGACATGACATGAAAAGTTATATTTAATTCCCATGATGGAAGAGAATCACTTAGAACATCCCAGTACTTGTTTTCCTATATGATTCATTTTTTCCCCCCAGAAAAACCTTTTCTGAAAATATTAAAGTGTCATTAATATTATCTAATTCTTAACTAATTTTAAGACTTTCCAGAATGTTTCTTCTCGCTGTGATTTCCATTCTTTCAGAGAGTGAGCCCATGTACTTTCAGGAAGAATTATTGTTTTGTTATTTTTCAGTGCATTGAAATGTGTTGCGGGTTAAGGGAAAAAGTTTGCCATGAGTTACTAGTGACTGGCTTCTGTTTCGAAGGAAAGTTGTGGTTACCACGAAGGAAAATTTAATCCATCTTGCCCCAGTGCATTTGTTCTCTTGAGAGCTACGTGAACCACCTTTGACTGTTTCCCTAGGATTATGTCACCCACCAAGGTAACTTTCTGTTTCAGTAGGTGATGTTAAGAAACAAAACAACACCCTTTAAGTTAATCAGTTTTGGAAAATAGAGACCTGCTTTATATCCCAGGTCTTTGATGTGTTTAGTGGCTCCTGTAAGGATCTGCCTCTCTTTTGTTTTGATTGACAAGACCTTTCCTATATATTTGAGCAGTCAAGCAGCCCAGTAACAGAGGGTAGAGACATTTACCCAGAGCAAACTTCCACCACTCCTTGTGACTTTTGGAAATCTTGGGTGCAAGTGTGAGCTCTACAAGAAGCGTTAGCTCCAACCAGACCCGGTAAGTGCTTCTTCATATATTTAACTTCATTCCTCCTGAAGGGAAGTCCAAAGAGCCCTGCTAAGGGGACAGACAGGTCAGAAGTAGGAGCTGGGAGTCAGATTTGGAAATAAATAATTTTCCAGCCAGTTTTAAGTGATAATGAACTGGGGGCGTTCCATAAATGCAATGTCCACCCTTGCTTTAACATTCAGGTATGTTTTGTCTAGTGGGACGAGCATGAAGGGAGTGATTCCTGGTTCCTGGAAAAGCACAGGAAATGACCAAGACCCAGAGAGGATAGACATGACAGTAGATGAGGATTATGTTTGAAACATCTCATATGCTTTTCATCGTTTGGATGTAAATTGAATCACAGCTAGGTGCCTATGGAGGCATAGAGCAGAGGCAATTTGTAGCAAGTAGGACAAATTTTTATGAAAGGCCACAGAGTCAGATGCCAAGTTTCATAATATCTTGTGCACATCCGTGTTTTGTGGAGGATTGGGGAAGTAACAATACATATGAGCATGCAATTATAATTTATCCATCTCCCCCCCCCGATTCCCCATCCACGACACTAAAAATATAACTTTGAGCAAACATGTCCCATGACATCAAACACACTGAATCTGAATAAAAACAATAACTGTGTATTTATGTATTATGTTAGGATATACATTACTTTTCATGTGTCACATTTTTTTGTGTTCATTTTGAAGAAGACCATTGGAACAAACTTCTTTAACACACAAGTCAAGTCCAGCAGTTGGGTGACAATAAGGGGAAGGCTGAGGATGCCTTGGAGGGTGGGGTGTCCAGTGAGGGCAGTGGGCCCATGGGATCCATATTGGAGTCAGCGGAAACTTTGGGCACCTGTGTTGGAGTTTGTGGACATCTGCAATTTCTTGGCTCATTTATTCTGAAATGCTAAGAGCAAGGTCCCTTTGATAGCCACCAACACATTGTTGGCTGCCCCATGGATGGCAGCTGGACCTGTTAATGAGCTCTCTTTCCTTTCTCTCCTCAGAAGAACAGCATGAAGCTGGCATACCTTTTCCTTGGCCCCATGGCCCTCCTCCTCCTGACTGGCTGCTGCTGTGTTCTCAGCACCTCAGGTGGGAACCTGGGCACCTTTGTGGGCTGTGCCGTGCGGGAGTTTACTTTTGTGGCCAAGAAGCCAGGCTGCAGGGGCCTTCGGATCACCACGGATGCCTGCTGGGGCCGCTGTGAAACCTGGGAGGTGAGTCCCAAGACAGGCCCAGGGGCAATGCCTTTAAGGGCCAGCCACTTGGCCTGATTCCTAAGCGTGCACTTTTTTGGTGAAATGCGGTAGAGCTGGGGCATTTGCCCTTTGCTGTGGATTTTTAAAAATAACAATGATTTGGCATGCTCCAAAAATATCCAAAAGAAACATGATCTTGGCCCTCTAACAAAGCATTGATAAAATTAATAATTTACTTGCATGCTGTCTGTATATTTGGGAATCATCTCTGGGAGGTCAAGATGTGCCATTATATGACCCATTTTACAGATGACGTGGAGGAATTCAAAGGGTGAGTGACTGCAAAGTCATGTAGAGGGACTATATGGAAAGTTGGGAATAAATTCTTGTTTCAAAGGCTGTAACCAAAACTCTTCCCTGTATTCCTCCACCTGTGATAAAGCCAACCAGTAACCGAGAGAGAGGCCTTAAGCTATGTAACAGGTGAGGGTGGGTTCTCAGTTCCTCCTTCAGTGCCTCTCCCACCGCCCTACCCTCGCCGCTCACTGGAAATTCCTGGGAGCCTCATGGATTATCACTGAGAGACCCATTAAGTCCCTTTATATTTAATTATATCCTGCCTTTTTAGACACATTGCTTTTGAAATGGGGATAAAAATCTCAGACAAAGTTAGAACCCTGTTGGGCTGAGAGGAGGAGATGTTTGCTCAAGGTGGAAAGAAAGTCCATTCAGCCCCCATCAAACCACACCACAGACTGCCGACTCTTTTCACTGAGGCCTGAACTGGTTACCAATGAAGTACCAGCTCTGATTTTGTCACCCCAGCTCAAAACCTTTAATGACCGCCCACTACTGCAAATTCAATAACCAGTTTTCAGGGTCCTTAGCAATATGACGTCTGCCTGTTTTCGCAGCGACTATCCCTATTGTGAGCTCTGGCCTTGTCAGATTGATTTTTAAGGCTTTGTTAAGTGCCCTTCATAAAATCTCACTTTTGGTCCTTTGCTCATATCCCTTCTTATTGCCATCTGTCATTATCAAATTTATTCGAGGCCTGTCTCCATCCCCAAGGGTTTTCTGACGCCCTGGTCAGCCCATGATGCGAGCCTACCTTTTGTCTTTCTTCTCACCCACCACACAACACTAGATGTGGGCAGGTATTCATTCTTGTGCCTTTCACAGCTCTTGTCAAAGTCATGTATGAAGAAGGCATTCAGTAAATACTTGGTGAATTATATGGGGTTGACCTCTACCTAGAGATACAAAGTACGTCTTCTGGCATAATTGATGCCAACTTAGAAGGCCTTGAGCACCATGGGAGGACACTGCCATCAGGAAAAACACCCTTCTGTTCAGGGGTTCAGAGAGCAACCTGGTATCACGTAGATAAAATTATGGTCCCATGAGTGGAATTGGGTTATAGTGATGAAATATCCAAATTAAATGAAACTACTACACCCAATTAACTTTATTTTTGCATCATTCAGGGGGCTTGAGACTGAATAGCCAAATGAAAATTCAGTTGCTAAGGATTTCATGGCTGTGACTTGACATCAAACATGCTCCGGAAACTTTGGCACCTTCTCATATTTAGGGCGTGGCCTGGTGGTGCCTCCCACTGCTTGAAGTTCATTTGGGGGCTCTTTGGAGTTCTTTCTGGGCCCAAGTCTCAAACCAGCCCATTTTCTCTTATGAACTGATGGATTTCCTTAACTGGATCATGGCCACCCACAGATCAGGGACTGTGTTCTCACTGGAGAAATGGAAGCACCAAGGCGATTAGAAAGCAAGATTCTCCTTAATGTTAGCCAGCTTTTATTTATACCTTTTCTGCACTATGAAAGGGAGGTTACTTATAGAAAAAAATTAAATGGGATTTATTTTCTCAGCAATCTGAGCGTTTCTGAGATGTAAATCACTTATTTTTGGTACCTGAACTGGGGAGCACATCTAAAGATAAGGATGTTCACAGTGACAAAGTCGGTGCGTTTACTTTGAAGGTGGATCTGCTGCTGCTGCTGCTGATAATAGCCTTTGCTCTGGCCTGGGTTTAGGGGTGCCAGATTTAGCAAAAAGCAAAACCAAACCAAACCACGATGCCAGTTAAATTGGAATGTTAGATAAATGACCATTTAAAAAAATGTCTGTTCCATGCAATATTTGGGATATACTTATACTAAAAAAAAAGTATTATTTATTTGAAATTCAAATATTACTGGGTGTCCTATAGTTTATCTGGCAACACTGCCTGAGATTCCAGATTTCTGAGGGTAAGAGGACATGAAGCAAACCTTATCTCCACAATGATGCTGTGAGGTAGGTATTTTGTTGTACAGATTAGGAAACTGAGGCGTCAAGAAGTTTGCTGAATTTTCCAAGGTCTCCAGCGAGTGTCAGAACAGGGACTCAAGCTCAGTAGGTCTGACTACAGGGTTTGAGATTTCAACTGTTACTTTGTGCTGATTTCCTGATTGACATGCTCTGTTTATCAAAATCAATTTTTAATTCAATATTTATAAAAGGTGAAGGAAGGATGCGAATCCTTTGATTATCAGTACAGTATATAGGGCATTTGGGAAACTGCCTTCCTCTGTTTTCTTTCATTAATTCTACAAATAGTTACTGAGAACCTCCTGGGGGTCAGGTACTACTCTAGGTAGCAGAGGCACAGCAGGGGGTAAAACGGGCAAAAATTCCTGTCCTAATAGAGCCTGACTTTCTAGAGTGGGAAAAACAGCACAAATAAATGAAACCTATAATACATCACATGGTGCTGACAAGTGCTATGGAGGAAAAGAAAGAGGGAGAGGAAGTGGCAAGGGGTATAGAAAGGCTTAAATATCACCGTCAGGAAGGGCTTCCCTGAGAGGGTGACGTTTGAACAAAAACCTAAGGTTGGTGAAGGAATGAATCATAAGGGAGAAGAGCATTCCGGTGGCATGAACAGTAGGGGCAGAAGCCCTGGGGTGGACTGGTCCTGGGCTTGAGGACAATCAGGGGACTGTTGTGGCTGGAGCAGAATGAAGTCAGCAAGACAGGGTCGCTGGAGACATATCAGCAGGTGAAGGAAGGAGTGGAAGGTGATGGAGGGGTTTGGGGGTGAACGTAAGGGCCATGACTTTTACTCAGCTGAGTGAGATGGGAAATCGCTGGGGCTTTGAGCGGAGGGGAGAGAAGATCTAACATACTTTTATGGGATCGCTTGGGGTTGCCGTGTTCCAAACAGACTGTAGAGGGTAATGGTGGAAGAAAGGAGATGGGCTAGAAGGCTCAGCAATGCTCAAGATTATTTATTTGTTAACTATTTACTTTAGCACTTACTGGGGGCCATGGCTCTTCTGGGAGCTTGGGATATGGTAGTGAACAAGATTAGCTTCCTGCTCTCAGGAGTTTCCTTTCAACTGGGAGGAGACAGGTGAACAAGTAGCCAAGCGAATAACGAGTTAATTTTTGATAGTGAGAAGTGGTACCTTCTTCTCTGTGGAGATGGAGCAGGATGGTGTGTTCTAATGGGTTCCTTGTTTTCTGCTTGTGGGGACAGAAGCCCATTCTGGAATCCCCCTACATCGAAGCCTATCATCGAGTCTGTACCTACAATGAGACCAAGCAGGTGATCGTCAAGCTGCCCAGCTGTGCCCCAGGAGTCGACCCCTTCTACACCTACCCGGTGGCTGTCCGCTGTGACTGCGGGGCCTGTTCCACTGCCACCACCGAGTGTGACACCATCTGAAACTGGCATGGCCTGCAGAACACAGATGGCAACCGTGAGCCTCACAGACCCACTGGCACAGGCAGCAGCACAAGCAGCTATTACCCCCTGGATCCAAGGACTGTTTAAGTTTGACCACACCTGTGGAGGAGGTTCCCTGTCTCCCTTAGTTCTAGCTCAGGCACAAGGCCCCAGAGAAAGCATACTTATGCTAAAAATGCAAAATGATATTTGTGCCTTCACCAAAATAATTTCTCTGGTTTACATATCTGCAAATTAATTGTTCTTCACCTGGAAGCTCAGAACATAATTTGTCTATCACAACCTTCCCCCTATTTGGAGTTATGACCTGCCAATGGTTTAAATGCCCTGGGCATAATTAGGAAACGAGACTAGAAAGTCTTATTTGCATGTCCTCTTTAACGACTGGTCTCCAACTAGATTTATGACCAAAGGGCCAGAAATGAATAAATGCTTTGGTCTTCATGCCCCTCCATCCAACTGCAAGCTTCCTTAGAGAAAATGTTCTCTTCTTTAACTGAGCAATTGCCTATGCAAGAATAGAGACTGCTCAGATTTAAAAGAGGGAGAGAAATAGTAGCTCAAATGGAAAGGAGTTTGGATTCCCATGCAAAATTCTTCAAGTCCCCTTAAGATCCTTAATAAAGAGGTCCCTTTTAAGCAAAAATCTCAGAAAAAAAATGTGTTACTAGAGCTATCATTTATGCTTAAAAACTTATGAAATTAAACGCATGTGATGCTCTCCCAAAGCTATGCCCCAAATGATGACTCACAAATATTCTTTCCCATTTAGCCTATTTAAAATTTAAACTGTCATTTTTTAAACTCAGAAATTTTACATGTTTGTAAGGGTAAAACCTTGCTGCTGGCTCAGAGAGTCTGTGACTGCCTAGCTTTTGCCCTCTCTAAAACCTTACCACAGCTGATTCTCTGTGCTGTTTTTGAAAACTCTAATGCTATGCAAGTGTCTTATTTCTGACGTTTTGGTGGTTGAAATTAACCTAGTTCCTTCTTTGCAATACGCCAGAAGAATCTCATTAATGCCAATAAAGCATGTCCTCTGTCTTTTGAATTCATGAAAACTTCCAAATGTCTTTTTAGTCTTTCATACTCTGGGAATAACAACAACAAGCGCCCATACAATGAGCTACAGGGTTATTTTTACTTCCACAGTAATTTAGGATGTCCTGTTTAGTTAGGGACATAGACAGATGGCTGGGTATCATGAGTCCTCAGAGTGACTTCATCTGTGTTCCTACCCCTGGCGAATCACAGCTGGGAGCCAGGAGTCCTCTTTGAGTTGAGGGATCTGTGAGTCCCGTGAAAACAGTAAAGCAAAAGTTGGGATCAATGGTCAAGGACTGGGAGGCCGTGGTGGACATCTAGGAACAAAGAACATGAGCAGGGTCCACCCCAGTCTTTAGTGCAGGTCTCTTTGGGTTGGCAAGAAACTCACTCTCACATGAAAAATGGTTGAGTGCCCGGGGTCTCTGTGGGTGGTGGCTGGGGTAATACTGGGTGGCACCACTCAAGTAGTTTCAACCCATCCCTAAGAACTTCCCTCAGGACTTTCTGAGAGAAAGGGCTGCTTCTTAAGGAAACTTAGGGGGGAAGGCAGAGGCAGTAAGGGCTTTCCAGGATTTGAGGAAAGACCACAGCACCAGTCAGGGTCCTGGCAGAAAACATGGTACATTGCCGTGGGAGACTGAGGATCGTTTAATGAAGAGACTATTTAAAAATATGTGTGCAGAGTTAGGGAAACCAACAAGGAAGCAAAGGTCAACTCTAGGCTAAAGGAACAAGAAGTGGAAGTGAGTTATCGGATCCCAAAGAGAGCTGCAGGAGAGAGATGCTGGTTTTCACAGGAAGATGCAGCCGTCACCAAGCTGAGGCCTGGTGGGGGAGCAAATACACCAACCTCACTCTGCTCCCATGTTCTTTCTTCTGCTGAGTCAAATGGGAAGGCAGAGAGGGAGGAAGCCCATTGACTCAGTCCAAAAAAAAAAAAAGTCCATAAAAAAAAAAGCAGGTTGCAGAAGAGTGGAGCGTGCATCTAAGGGGCGAGTGGATGAAATCTAGCATAGCGATCTTTGGGGAAGCTTAGCCAGCGTGCCCTGGACAGTACTGTGGGCTGAGAGCCCCATAAGGCATGCCATAGCATCGCAATCACCAAGACTTCCCTGGGATGAGCCGGGATGCCACACATGTGAAAGGTAGGTTCTGGCTAACACAATATCAACACCATTGAGAGGCATGGGAACAACGGTAATTGTCAGCACTGTAGGATTAGTTAGTTGGTAGTTAAGTGCAATTAAAACATTCAGGGCCTGATATGAAAGCTGCATTTGAAGAGACTCCTCTGAAGCAGGAGGACAGACTGTGCTGAAAATCAGGCTTCAGACCTAATTGGGAGAGCAGCTGAATTATTTAAAAGACTGGATCCGACACACTAGCAGTCTTCTATACTTAAGTCCAGGGCCGCATAGGGAGGGAAGGAGCAGGACACAGAGACCTGGAGTGCGGACAGTTCCTGGATGGGCTTGAGGTTCCGGACGGGCCACTCCTCCTTGCTGGAGATCGGCCTGCCTCCTTGGAGGCCAGGCTGAAGCCCCATCTGAGGACGATGCTTTACATGATAATACTGGCCCTTCTCAAACGCTCCCCACAACCCCTCATTGGTTTTACTTGGATAATTAGGGTCAAGACTCAGGATGAACTGGCTGGGGAAATACTTTCCCTGTAGTGGGAGGAAGGAGATTCTCCACCGAAGCTGCCTCACAGCTTGATTGGTACAAACAGGGATCAGTAGGATGGGCTTGGGAATGAAGCCTGAGGGTGCCGGGCTGGGATGGGAGGGCGTCGGTGGCACAATGTTAAGACTGGATAAGAGTTTATTCATACGGGGACATTCTCAAGATGACTCAGGATTTAACATCCTCAGAAGGGCACCCTGATCTGGTCCCAATGTACTGTTGGATGACTCTTTAAAGCCTGGGGAAACAGTGGCAAGAACTGTTCTGGAAGAGTATTTGAGGACAAAAGGCTCAGAAAGGTGGGCGTCCTAGAACGGGTTGATTACAGGAGATCAGAGCTCACCAGCTGGTATGTTCACCTGGTGGGTTCTGTGGACACTCCCTTCAATAAAGCCGTAAGGAATGCGCTGGGAAGGGGCGCCTGCACCGTAGAGAAGCTGGACAGTGGCTGTCTGTGACTGGGGTTGATGGCAGGACAAACTGCCATGGAACTGGGCTCCCCGGTGTCAGTGGAAGTGAGGGGGGTCTGGGGGAACAGAGACCAGGTGATGACAAGTAGCTGTAAGAGGCAAGGGGAGCGGAATTGCTGTAACAGGCAGCAAGGTGACAATGGCGGCCACAGGACTGATCTGCAGGACCGGTGGTGCTGGCTGCTAGTCCACGGTGTTCCTAGTCCACGGTGTTCAGAAAACGTCCACAATAAATACATATTATAATCAGGAAAGTTATTAATTCAAAAGAGGACACTATCTCTGTCAGTGCTAAACTTGAATCCTTTTCCAATCTCTCTCTTTCCATGTCCTTTCTCCTTCTCTCGTTTGGTGCAAGGCACTGTGTTTGGGAAATAAAGATATAACTATTGTTATCATTTATAGATTTATAACTATAAGTAGGACCTTTATTAATATTTTTATTATTCTTGTGTCAACCATGCTTGTAGACATTGTTATTACCACTCTACAGATGATGAAGCCAAAGTTCAGAGAGGCCAATTAACATGCCCAAGGTCAGGCAGCTGACAGGCAGCACATGCCAGGCTTCTCTGGCCCAGAACAAGCTCTGTTGGAGTGCGTGCTTTTCTGGGGTGCTCCTTCCAAGTCGTTCCTGCCTCGAAAGGACTATCTTTCACTGACCAGCATGCTTGCGGTTTCTTCTGGAGGTGGCTCAATGCAGACTTGGGCTGTTTTCTGGAGACTGCAATTTTTCTCTGGTTTCCTGTACAGCCTCTAAGAAGATAATCATTTGCTGTAGCTCAAATCGAAGCTTACAACAGGAGAGACTGAGGGAGAAAAGGAGCGGAGTCTCAACGGGAGATTCAGAGAGACTGCCATGGAGGTGAAGGTTGTATGCTCTCACGTCGTTTCCCAGGTAACGTGAACACTGGGTGCAGGGGAGTGATGGTCCAGTGCCCTTGAAGGGAGCTCTGGATGAAACTAACTCTCCTGGAAATATGTTTATTTCGCAATTAACAGAAGGTAAGGAGAAGGTGAGTTTCCCAGATATCCCTACTCCATGGGAATGCTTTTTGAATGAAGAATACAGATTCTCACAGCTTTTTCTGCTTCTGGGTTTATTAGCTCCATTGATTGAAATGGTAATTCATGCTTCCCTTCTTCCATTCGTTAGGAAATGAATGAGATGCCAGGAAAGTACCAAATTCTGCTACAGTGACCCAATGAACTCCTCAAATTAATTAGATTTTTAATGTACTAAAAGCCATTTCTGAAATAACAAATGAACTGTACATGTAATTGAAAATAGTGGCATTGGTAAATAGCATTGGTAAAACAAGTTATATTTTATAAAGTTTTCCAAGAGGAACTGCTTGTCTTCTTCATTCAGGAGGCGTTTTCTTAAAAATAATGTGCACCTGTCCTTTCTGGCTTTCTTCAGAACATTAAAGTGAAAGATTAAGAAGTAACTTTTAAATCATTCTGTAGCAAATTCTGCAAATTTTATTTTTCGTTGCAAATTTCTACTAGTGAAACAATTTAATGGGTTAGGAGAACTTCGGTCCTCATTGGCAAGATGAATCTGGCGTTTCTTTACAATGATCTCCCCTTGTTTTGATGAATAGGATTGTTCGGGATTATGTACAGGGAGATCTAGAAGGATTAATGGCGGGTTGTAGTGATTCTGGAGTGTCTGAAGGGGGTGCTAAGGACCTCTGAGGAGGTGATGTACTGGGGGTGCCAAAAAAATGTAGACACATGACTTGTATTCATCTTTTGTTATCGGTATATATTGGGTATTACAGTTTTTTCCTTTCTTAAAATGTGTACACATTTTTTTTGGCACCCTCTGTATGTAATAAAGGAACAAATAACAGGGAAAGGATGAGAAAGAGACATGCAGGTGCCAAGCACTGTATTTGGTTGTGTAAGACCAGGACTTGTCCCCAACGGTAAGGAATTTAGAGGAATTTTTCTATCTACCCTGTGTTTCAGGTCCTCATTATCAGCAGTAAAGTAAACATTTCTTAAGCTTTTTTGGCTTTATAGTTGACTCGATGTTCCTCTGGCTGTATGATTTCTTTAGCACACTGAATAATTGAGTTAACAAAAAAG